CAATTGAGAGATGCAGGACCCTGGCCTTGGAGCTTAGGAACTACAATACCCAGAAGGCATGGCAGGGAATGCCACCAGGCTGAGCCAATGGAGGCTCAGAAAAGGCATTTCCGTTTGGCCGCTGCTGTAGAGCGGAAACGGGAGTCGTAGTGGCGGGGTTTTGTCTTCTCAAATCTTTGTTTCTGGCGGCCACGTTTTCCTGGTCGCACAGTCCCGTGGAGGAGGCTGGGGAGTGGTGCTCCCCGCCTCACAGCCCATGGACGGAGCCTCCAGTGGTGCTCACAGCTCACACTTGGGATTGAAGCTCGAAGTCGCCACCCGGACCCACACCAGGGCCGGGCCAGGGACCGCCATTCCTGCAGCGGCTTCTTCTCCCGCCCGGCTCTGCCCACAGAGGGCAATGGCGGCGCCCCCGCTGAGGAGACGGACTGAGGTGAGTTCAGTCCCCCAGGCCCTCACCGCCTCCTCACACAGACACCACAGCCTGGGGAGGGCGCCTGTCCCTTCCTGCAGCTCAGTCCCGCGTGGAGGACCGTGAGGAAGGTGGAGGGGAGAGAGGAGTGTTGTGGCTTCTGAGGACACAGCAAGTGCAGGGCAGAGAGGACGGGGGTGACTTGCATCTGAAGGTCCCTGAGGATGTGGCTGTGAGTATTGACGGAAAGATCAGAGGCTGCAGGGAGGACGGCACAGACTCATTCGGGGCTTTCCCGGCTGTGGGTCCATCAGGGGCCTGGGGTGGTCCTGGATCCGGCTGGACTACAAGCTCTCTACACGCCATATGCCCAGTTCATGGGTGAGTCCAGCGAGATCCAGTGGCATTGGAGCAGGAAGGGGGCAGAGCTGAGGGAGTGAATCTGGGGTCTGAACATGGGAAGGGGGTGAACATTACCCAGTGGTGTGCACATCTGGAGGAAGTGTGAGCTGATGGTCCCGGGACCTGGTGTGGGGACTTAAAGTGAAGCATAAACCCAGGCTTGGCTTTGTCTTGGCGGCAGGATCTAGGAGACTGCAGTGGTGTTGCCTGGTAGGAAGGCTGGGGCCCTGCAGGCATTGCCCAGACCTTAAATGTCATTGCCCTCTACCCTCCCCTCCCCCAATGCTTCCACCGACCCAGCTGCTCTGCTGAGGGCCATGCAATGAGTAATGGGACTGTGGTGAGCATTAGGGCCCGGTGTCCACAGTAACCACGGGCCCTGGAGGACGTTGAGGGGGGCAAGGTGTGTAAGGAGTAGAATTACTGGTTCTCTGAAAGGCAGCATTGGTTTTAATTGTCTCCATTCTGGCAGGTTGGCGTGACCTTTGAGGACATTGCCCTGTACTTCTCCAGGGAGGAATGGAGCCTCCTTGATGAGGGTCAGAGACAGCTGTACCTGAATGTGATGCTGGAGAACTTTGAACTTATATCCTCCCTGGGTAAGACCCTCACTCTCACTTGTGACCTGCACTTGGCTTTTCGATTTCCCAGGCCCCATCCCCCAGGGTGTGCTCTGTCCTCCCAGGTAGACTGTGGTCCTGCTTGATTTTCCAGTTTCCTGGGTAGCTGCTGTCCTGGGGAGGGTTGGTCTGTTTCTACTGCTCCCTTCTATTCCTGAAGTCCCAATACTCCCCGCTCTACTAAACTCAAAGGGAAGGACTTGTTGTTGGTAGTGTTGCTGGAAGCCTAAGGGATTCCACCTTGGTCAGTTAGGAAAGCATTTTCTATATTCCTTTTGGTCATTTGTACTTATTTTTTGGAGAATTGTCTCTACATCCTTATCCTGTTTATTCACTGTATTTTTTGGTTAAAGAGTGTTCTAACTACCCTGTATATTTTATATATTAATTGCTTATTACATACAGGAACACATATTTTTGCATGTGCTTAATTGTGCTTTGCTGATATTGCTCCCCACACCCGCTTTTCTACAAAGTCCATGTTTT